TTGGAGACCTGACGCTTCTTTAGATGTGTTTGGCCGAGTTTCTCCATCCACACGGGCCATTTTTGGGTGCGAAGCCACCTGGGTTCGCCCCAGGGCTCCTGATAGCAGTGGGTTCGCAGGAGGGGCTGATGCCAGCTCAGAGGCAAGGCAGGGCTGGTCTCCCTGAGCAGATTAAATCTCCAAAAATCTCACTAGGATTAAACCAAACCCTCGCCAAACTCCTTGTGTTAGTGATTGGGCTAGACGAGTGCTAGAACCAAGTTGTGACCACGCTGTCTCAACCTTTGGAGGGATGACATTGCTCCAGATGACAATCCACGTGGGTGATGCTCCCAGGTGGAGCTGCACATTACCTTCTTTGCACCAAAAAATGACACGTGTGCCACGAAGAGGGTTGCTTCCCCCCTCCCGGGGCACCACAGTGCTTGGGAAAGCCTCCTCTTTCGGGGCAGGAGGCTCTGGGTGAGGCCAGCTGCTCCACAGCCCCCTCGGTGGCAGGATTTGGTGACCCAGCTGGCGGGATCCGGTGCTTTGTGCCTCCTAAACCTCCAGCTGATTTTGCTGGTGGGAAGAGGAGGCGGGGAGGGGTGGGGGGGAGGGGGAAGAGTTGGCTTTCGGAAGCAGTTTGATCACAGATGCTTTTGTCTTGGTACCGTGACACTCTGCCAGCTCGGGAGAAATTCCCAGCCTCCTCAGCCCAACATATGCCCGCAGCCCCCAGCTCGGAGACGCACTGACGGCGTTAAAGCTATCGATGGCTCCGTTTCAGGACACGGCACGTCGCCAGGGAGGTGCACCCATAACACTGAGTCTCGGGGCCGCGAGGAGGGCTCTGCAGCAAACCTGGATATCCCCGTTCGGTTCCTCCATTCGAAGTTTCTTTCCCCTCCCTCGTCCAACCGAAGCGGGTGGGTGGGATGCCGAGAGGCCTCCGCTCTTGCTGAGCCCAGATGGTACCGTCTGCTGTCGCAGAAGAATTCCCACCTGCCCACCCCTGCTCCCGCCCCGCGTGTAACCGATTCCCTCGGTGGGTGTCTGCGCCTCCCCGCGCCGGGGGCTCGCTGTGGGGAAGGCTACGGCAGCAGAGGGGGAGGATACCAGGCACCCGGGGCATGGCCAGGGCAGACCTCGGGAAGCTATAGTAGGATATGGGTCTTATTTTTTTAAACAACATTTTTTCCACTCCCTGGTTATCCCTTGTTACCAGGTAACAGAGACCCAGAGCATAAATACTGGGCAGGGAAAAGAGCTGCAAAGCCTCCATGCACCCCAGGAGCAAAAAAAAAAACAACCCAACCCACAACCTGGGCATCTAAAACCTTCCTCCTCCGGTGGCTGCTGATATAAATCCCAACTGGGATTTGAACCCAAGCTGGTATTTATTCTTTGTTTTCCTTTCCTCTATCCATTGCCCCCAAGGAAGACGCACCGTTACACTTAAAACAAGAGCCTGGCTGCAGATTTAAGCTTGCTCTGCAATAAGCAGCCGCGATCCCTCCTTTTCTCCCCAATTCCCGGGGTGAAGAGCAGTTCAGCGGCTGCCATGACCCACCCCAGGGCTGGCTGCTTGGTTCACGCAGCGAAGAGCTTGTGCTGTGGTCAGAACAGGAGAGGAGAGGATCGGAGGGGGAAACCCATTACCCCTCCCCCCCCCATCCCTAAACAACCCACACTGGTCTCGAGGTGCACTACAGAAGTCGGGAGCCATTCCCCTGGGAGGGGCATGGCGGTACCTGGGGGAATTTGGTTAAGCCCCACTGCTCCGTCTGCTCTCCTGGGCGCAGGTCGGCACGAGGCAACGAGGCACGGTGCGAAGGCGTCGAGGGCACTGCGGGTCTGCGCGGTTTCGCTCCCTGCCGTGAAGAGGAAGACCTGGAAACCATCGGGAATTTGGTTTAGGAGGTGGAAGGTTTTTCTGAACGGGTTCCCAAAGGGGTTTGTGGGTGCTGGGGGTACTGAGGGACCTACTTTTCCTCCTCCAGGGATCCTAAACGGACAGGGCACCCCCGGAAAAAAACCTGAGGTGGACATTTCCCCACCGTTTCTCCTCCCTGCAGGAACGGGGGTTTGTGCAGCCACTTTCTGCACCCAGGCCCCCGCAGGTGGGCTTTTGGGAGCCCAGCGGGCACGGCCCCGCGTTCATCCACCCCTGGGGACACCAGCCACCTTTGGCCCATGCCGTGTTTGTGTTGAGGACTTGGCTGTGCCCCAGGAGGGAAAGCTATGAGAGACACAGCTCAAAAAGTATTCCCCGTGGGATACAATCCACGGGGGAAAGCACAGTGCTTTTCCACGGGGAGTCACTCCACAGGGGTGCAGGCAGGGGGTTGTAATACCGCCTAAGGAAGGAAAACCAGGTAGCTCCAAGGAACTCAGCTCCTACAGCCCATCCTGTACCCCACAAGTGACGTGACCCCACGCCAATAAGTAGCGTCACCCAGCAAAAGTGGGGTCTGGGGGCTCCCACCTCTTCCTCGGGCTCCTCTGCCCTCCCCTTGCTGCCACACCATCTCCCTCTGCCCCCTCCGCTTGTTGTTCTTGGCCGGGTTTTAGCCTGTCTAAATTTAGGCGGATCTATTTCAACACCCATCCCCTGCCCTGCGGGGGGAAGAGGACGGAGCAAAGGTAGCCGGGGAGGAAGAGCAGGGACCACAGTGCCCCGTGGTGGGGTCTGCTCCCCATGCCCCCCGCCGGGCTTTCCCCACCAGCACCCTGGATTTTATCCAGCTGCGATGCCATGGAGGTGCCCAGGACTGAGGTTGGCATTTTCCCGGCTGCTATCCCATGGATCTCTCTGGCTGTCACTTGGGGTAGAGCTGGGTGACAAGGACAAGCCAGCTTGTGTGTCCACCAGGGAAGGAGCTCCCTGCACTGGGAGCCAGCTCGTCTCCGGAGAAGACCGATGCAGGTGAGCGGGGCTGCAGAGAAGCAAGGGCAGGGACGAGGGTCCAAAGCGCGGGACATCAGCGCTGGCACCCAGGGGTGCTCCAGGGTCCGGTCCCACGTGCAGGTGTCCCCAAACAGGGAGGATTGGGGCGCCTGAGCCTTCCTCGTTGCGCTGCCTGGCACAGCTAGAAACCACCCATCTCCTCTCGCAGGTGGCATCACCTTGGCCTTGCAGAGCATCTTTAACTGCTGCCACTGCCTTTCTCCTAACGCCATCGGGGTCAGGACGTCCCAAAGAAAGTCCTGCTGCCTGCGGGACCCGTGGCAGGGCCTCTCCTTTCCCTGGCCAGGGCCACGCTTCTTGGCTACTCATTAACCAGCTGTTTAGTTGCTAAGCCTTGCGCCAGGGCCAGGTCCCCTCCGCGTCACCACCTCCAGGGGATTTCGGGGGGGTAGAGCTGAGAGGTCACTAGCTCCCAGAAGAACCAAGAAAGATGCTCAGCGTGGTCAAACAGGGTCAAGCCAGGCAGGGCAAGAGATGAAGATGTCCCTGCTCATCGCAGGGGTGGATTGGAGGACCTTTAAAGGTCCCTTTCAACCCAAACTATCCTATGATTCCATGACAGAGCAATTCCCGGGCACTGGAGGAGGATCGGAGCACATAGTCTGTACTTCACTCACCAGTATACACCAAACACGAGCCGAGTTCCCAGTTCTGGGTCTCGTGCCCCCCTGCCTCAGAGCTGCAGAGACCACTTTTCCCCTCCTCTACCGCGGCCAGCTCAGCTTGTCCTTCCTGCCAAGAGTGGTTGGCAGCCAGAGCATCGCCAGCAGGTCTGAAGCATGTTTTCGCTCCAGACATCTGCCCCGTTAGCCATTAATCCAGCTGGCAGAGGGACACGGGGGGCCGCCAGCGCTCAGCTACGTCACCGTGCCAGCCAGTACAACTAACGGCGGTTGTTTGATGGCTGCAGCCACGGCAAAGGGAGCTGAGAGGTGCCAGACGGAGCTGGTAGGGCTGTGATTTCTCCCTTTTTGAGAGTAAGATGAGAATTCGGTCTCTTCCCCACCCGGTTGCAGCTTACACTTACTAGCAGTCGCAGTGTCATCGACCCCTCGGGCTGCCCGGGGGGTACCAGGCACAGACACATCACCGTGAGCATCAGCCTCTGGCAACCGGCGCCTCGCACGAGCTAAAGGGGAGAAAAAACAATACCGATTTCACATACAGCAGTTTCAGAAGGACCTTTGCGAAAGGCTGTTTGACTAACAAGTGACTAATAACCGCCTGTTAAAATAAGCCACCGAGGGCTCAGATCCCCAGCCCTGAGGAAGCACAAGGGATGTTAATTTTTTTCCATGGCTGCCCCCCCCCCTGCCGCAGCCGCTGTCTGGATGTGTGCACCTTCTTGGGCTCCCCCTCCAGCCAGCTGGAGCCCCCCAGCACCCAGCAAGCAGCCAAAGCAGTGAGGGGGGAAAGGTGGAACGGGGCTGAGAGCACGTTTCCCGGCTTTGAGGGAACCCGGACGCAGGTTTTCAGTGGAGCAGGAGGTGCTGGTATCACCCGGCGGTGCTGGCTGTGGCCGTCAGGGCAGCCACACTTACAATTTGGCTTTTCAACTCCTATCCCCGCGGACGCCGTGCTCCAAACCTTCATTTTGGCGGGGACAGCAGCAGGCCAGAGGCAGCCCGCGCTGCACCTGACATGTAGGACAGGGTGGGTCCTCCCCGCACTCATCGCCTGCTCGCATCCCCGCCGTGAAGGCTCTTCGAGCCCCTGGAGCTCACTGATCCTCTCCAGGGGCAGCCAGAAACTTTAAGTGTTTGACACACCGAACTACACAGCGCAGCTGCCTGGGGGTGGAAGATGAGAGCTGTGGTAGTTGAAAGCAGTTAAAAACCAAACCCTCTGGGATTTTACTCAAAAGTTTGCCTTCCCCTCCCCCCCCCGCCCCGAGAGGCAGCAGCGCAGCCGAGCCCTGCAGGGCCGCGTTTGGCAGCTGGACGCTGGCACCTCTCAGATCCCACCTCCAACTTCGCTTCTAGGTGAGCTGCTGAATGAAGCCCAGACGAGCCAGCGGGTGAGCAACCCCCCAGGCTCTGCATGGATTGGAATGGGGAAACCTGCCCGCAGTAAGAGCCCAGGGCAGCTGGAAAACCCCGGCTTCTTCCTCCGAGCTCTCCTCCTCCTCCTCTTCTGCAGGCATGGTAAGGAACCGCATGGGCAGAGCCGTAAACCCGGCGTGGGAGCTGCAGCCCCAGGGCGCAGGGAGGGTACAAGCATGGGAGGTGACTGGAGCAAGCAGAAGACCCTCTCATGGCAGCCGCAAGGCTCAGGCAGTATCAAAGCGCCCTCGGCCCACCGCAGCCCCAGGGGAGGGCGGGCAGCAGTCCCCACCAGCACCACCAGCCCCTTCCAGGGCAGCCTCGGGGAGGAGAGCGTTCCCCTGCTCTCCTGCAGCAGGCGCTTTCCCTGGGAAAGCCCTTAAAAGCTCTCTTATCTCCCAAGATAAGACAGGGACAGCAGGACACAGGGACTGGCCAAAGTCAAGGTCTTCTAGTGAAAGGCGTCAGCCACATCCATCACTCGCTTTCCCTCCTGCAGCCCACAGGCTCTACCAGGAGAGCCGAGACCTCCAAAACCTAAACCCACCTCCCACCACCTTCTCCTGCCCTGCTCGCACTCAGCTACTGCAAGGGCAGCTGTCCCTTATAACCCCTCTGTTTAATGAGCTAAACAAACCCTGCTGGGGCGAGTTCGTTAGCTCTCCCGGCGCTGTGGCACACAGCAGCGTGGAGAAATCCCATTTGAGGGGCAGGATGTCCTTGGTGCAGCCAAGCCTAGCGTGAAAGAGCGACTGCACAGCCCGGCCAAGGTTGAAATGGGAAGAAGGGGTTTCCCAGAAATTCCTGTTTGTCCCCTGGCAAGCCCCGGGGGCGAAGAATCTCCGTCTGAGCCACGTCCCAGGGCCACAGTCACAACTGCCGCCCCGGCTCTTGGCAGTGCTTGTGCCCCAGGTACAGTCTCGCACCCCAGTTGCTTCAGGACACCCCTTCGGCCCCGTGACTGCCGTCTGCGCCAGGCTCCAGCCTGGTCCTGCAGCAGGCAACCCTGGATTCATTCCCTGCAGGCCCATAAGAAGCAGGTCATTTAAACTGGGCGCTGCGGTCATTAATATAGGGGAATAAGCGCTTCCAGAAAGCGTCTCCATCATGAGATCTGGAGTGGGCCAGATGGTGGGAGGTGGTGGGAGGAGAAGGGGCTGCCCTTCCCCGCTCCTACAGCTCTACTGGGATGCCCCGGGGCCGCCCCGTCTCTCCCAGTTTCTTCCCAGTGCAAGATCCTGCGCTGCAACTCGGAGTACGTGGCTGCCACCCTCAACCTGCGCGGCTCCAACAGGAACGCGGCGTACTGCAACGCCCTCCGCTCCTACTCCCACTGCACCCGCAAGACGGCTCGCACGTGCCGGGGCGACCTGGCCTACCACTCCGCCGTCCACGGCATCGAGGACCTCATGATCCAGAACAACTGCTCCAAGGAAGGTCCCACATCGCCGCCCCGCCCCCGGCCCCCGGCCCCCAACCATCAAGGCTTCGAGTCCCTTGATATCTGCAACTATGAGAAGAGTTTTCTCTACAAGCACGGCCAGCCCCCTAGCTACCAGCACTGCGCCGCTTTCGGGGACCCCCATATCCGCACTTTCCACGACGACTTCCACACTTGCCGGGTGGAGGGTTCCTGGCCTCTCTTGGACAACAACTACTTGTTCGTACAAGCAACCAGCTCTCCGGTGGCGAAGGGGTCCAACGCTACGGTCACTAGCAAGGTAACGCTCGTGGATAGGGCTCGGCAGCACACCCGTGCGTCTCCGGGATGCAGCACCGGCTTAGGGCGCTCCCTAAAACGGCTGGGGAGGGCAGCAATAGCTTCAGCTAAACCCACTTGGGATCGGGAATGAACGTCTACAGGACAAGTGGGATGAAGGTCCTTGAGGGGAGCAGAGAGACCTGCAAACCCTCCCATTGCTGCCCAGGGATGGGTTAGCGCGTGGTCCAGCTGCATGCAGTCTATCCGGGCTTGGCTCCATCTCAGTTCTCAGTTGCTTAAATGGTATTAAAGAAAGAAGGAAACAAAGGAAGGAAAGAAGGGAACATTGCCGCTTTCCCGAAAGGACAGCAGCGATGTGGGAGAGGTGGTTTGGGGCACACTGGGATGCGTTGGTGGGGCAGATGTGTGCAGTCTGCGCATAGCTGATACCTGGGGTGGGGACACGGCCACCACGCTCGCACCCAGCGAGTCAGATCAAACCCCTTCTGATCCGCTCTCTGCAGCTCACCATCATCTTCAAGAACATGAAGGAATGCATCGACCAGAAGGTCTACCAGGCTGAGATAGACAACCTCCCAGCAGCCTTCGAGGACGGCTCGGTGAACGGGGGTGAGAGGCCCGGCGGGAGCAGCTTGGCCATCCGGGAGCGCAGCCCCGGGAGGCACGTGGAGATCCGTGCGGAGTACATCGGCACCACCATCGCTGTCCGGCAGGCCGGCCGCCAGCTCTCCTTCTCCATCCGGGCAGCCGACCCCCCGCGGCGAGTCCGGCCGGGGCGGCGCGGCAGCCGAGGCGGCCCGGGCGCTCTGCAAGGAGATGCTGCCCGTGGAGGACGTCTACTTCCAGTCCTGTGTCTTCGATGTGGTGACCTCGGGGGATGCCAACTTCACCATGGCAGCTCACGGGGCCCTGGAGGACGCCAGGGTCTTCCTTCCCAACGCTGAGAAACTGCACATCTTCCAGGCTGGGGCAGGCTGCCCATGTGTCTCTTCGTCCTTCCTCCTCATCATCACCTCTGGTCTTTGGGCTGTTTTGTTGCACTTTTAACTCTCGCCGGCGTTGCATACAGCCCAGGGGACGCATCCAGCTGGTCCAGAGGGGTAACCCAAGAGAGCTGCTGACTCAAGGCCCGTGCTGCGCAGATCACGACGGGTGCCTGAGCTAGGATCACGTATCTCTGCGGCAATAAAGCATCGGAGACCCAGGCCTTTGGCGAGGGGAGCACTGGAAATGAAAGACGGTGAGACACTGGTTTGCGTCCACTGGTCTTGCACACGTACCGCACCGGTTGAACCTGGTTCTTGTCCAGAAGGCAGATCACAATTTTTCTGTCTGATTCTGATGCGTTTCTTTTTTCTAAAGATGAGGACACTGCAGCAGTATCAAAGAAAAAGAAATACACGGGGTGAAGACACGTTTAGAAAACCTCTGTGCCCCTCAAAACCTTTCCACAGAGTTGCTTCACACCTTCCTTCCAGTGTCACTACAGCAAACTTTCACTCAGGAACCTTACAGATTCAGAAATAACAGACTCCAAGCCCGGATCCCAATTTTTAGCAGTCAAAAAATGTTTTTTGACGTATTCGGGGCCCCTTGCCCCAGCTGCTAGCAAAGCAGCGGGAGAGTGAAGCAAGACAGTAAGTTGGTTATCGGCGTGTCGTGACCAAGGTTTGGGATTTTTGAGCTAGAAATCAACCGTGTCACACTGTATTCCCCTCTCTCAGGATCAGTAACGTGCTGATTTCCAGCGGCGGGAGCTGCAGAGCGTCAGGTCTCGGACATTTCAGGCTACCGTTGCTATTTTCCCTTGTTGTCTTGGCACCTGTCGACTCAATATAGCCAGTTCTGGACTTGAGTTTCAGTGAGGAAGAAGACCCCTTGGTATTCCTCTCCCTCGGGCCCAATGTTCTACGTCGCTGTCACAACCTTGTTCAAATCCAACCCAGACTGTGGGTTTCACTTGCAAAAAAGAATTACTAACGAAGACACGGAGCTGGGAAAAAAGCCATATGACTGTATGGATGGACAGGGGAACTATTAGCAGATGTACATAAATATAGAGGTGAGGCCAAATTAGATGTTTAATATATTTAAGAGGTTTTAAGTAAAGCAGATAGAGTATATGACAAGAAATATTTTCCATATGCAAAGACTTCTCTTTCTCTTTTTTTAATAAAGAGGGCTCACATTAAAAACTTGGCTATGCCTGTCCCGTAGAGCTGCAAGAAGAGCCTGGCAAAGCCTCGTGGAAGCCGAGAAGTGAGCTGGCAGACACGGGCAGGATTTGGGCATGCAGCTTGGGGAAAGAGAATTGCAGATCATCCAGGTACAGAGGATCTGTCAAGCTGTAAAGGAGGTTTTACAATTCCTGTTTCAGCATATCTGCAGTTCCTTTGGTCATTTTTTTTTTCTCTGGCTCTTCTGCGGAGGGCACAGAGAGTAAATACGGAAATGTTTCTTAGATATCTCAGCATATTTCCTCCTCCGACGCGCACTCAAAGCACATGGTGACTAGCGTGAGAGTTTCTCTGCTTCTTGTATGGTGCTCTCGCTAATCCCTGAACGTTTTGACATTAAAGGTGTCTATTTTTGAAGTCCTCATTTCCTGTCATCTGTCTCTTTATTTCTTTGGTCGGCAGCAGCAGGTGAAGATAATAATATCTCCCCTTCCACCCACTGCTCCTTTTACTCCAGAGCATTTTGTGGTCTATATATACGCGCGCTGAATGAGGAGAGGCAGCCAGCCCGCCCTGCTGCTACGCTCCACCACTTTGCAGGAAACTGCAGGTCCCCGTGGGAGCAATGTTGCCCGCAGGGATCAAATCCTCAGGAGCTCTGAAGAGGCTGCAGGGTTGAGAGCGCTGGAGCTCCTTAGAGAAACAGGATTGACTTGATCCAGAATTAAAAGGTAGTCACTTCCAGGGTGCGAAACAGCAGCTCTTTAACAGCACACGGCGATGCCACGCAACTGCCAGAAACAGCGTTGCGGTCAGATTTTATGATGCAGAATATAACTATCCTTTAGACTTTGGCCAACAGAGCTGTCAACAAGAATGCCATGGAGAAAGGAGGGGGTTCCTAACGGAGAGATGAGGATCTCACTGGCTGGTGACCCTTCCAGGTGAGCAGGGCCACACTCACCCTCCCAGACCCAGCCTCTTGGTACCTCCACAGTCATAACACGGGGACAGAAGAGTCCCCAGGACCTGCCAGCAATGTGAAGGTGGTGGAGGTGACCCTGCGCAAGCCCTGGGCACGTGGGCACGGGAGGGAGTGGTGCAGCAGAGCCTGGCCCACCACGTGTCTCGTAGCATCACGCTAGCTCTGTCCCCACTGAGGAGCGTGGCGAGTGCTAAACCTGCTTTGTAGGAGGGCTGTTATTCGCTCACTCTTCCCAACCTGCTCAGGAATGTCCCACCTGGGAAGGGGACAACAAACTGGGCTGCAAGAGCTCTGTTCCCACTGAAAAGAAAATCACTTTCCCTGGGTCTACCTGTGAAAGCTGGATCCAAGACCCCTCACGCAACACACACCTGACAAACCCCAAAGCCCATGAGAATCAGAGAATCAGAGAACACCTCAAGTTGAAAGGGACCCATAAGGACCACCGAGTCCAACTCCCTGCTCCTCGCAAGACTACCTAAAACTAAACCGTATGACTAACAGTGTCATCCAGACGCTCCTCAAAGAGAGGACTTTGGTCAGCCCTCTCTGGAAGAGGTGAGCTGGACCATCCCAAGCAGCTCACGGAGATCTGAAGGTCTGATTCTGGTTGGGGCAGGTACTGGGGAGTCACAGCACGTCACAGCCGAGGCCACCACCTCCCTGACCCGCGACGCAGATGCTTAAACCTGAGCTGCAGCCTGGCTAGGGTCCAGCAACGCGGACGGAACGTGCACAGCGTTGAATGGGTTTGCGCCTGTTCTCCAAATTGTTCTGTACTCTGCATCCTCGGCTTGCTGATTGCAGAGGAAGCAAGACCTTTCAGAGACGTGCTAAAGTCTGTAAGTAGGAGAGAGACCTTTCCACTCCTGACAGATTGCAGTTTGAAATAAAGAAGTGGAACGTAGGCGGGGATCCAAGCCCCACTGATGTCAACAAGAGTATTTCCACTGACGTCAGTAGACTTTGGATCGAGCCCTCAAGTTTCCTAGCATATGTCACCTGCTAAAAAAGACACTGGCCAGTATTTTCAACAGCGAGCCCAGTTTGGGCCATTCTGCATCCAGATGCCCAAACTGGGCAGTAGGAGCAAGGGAATTCCCAGTCTGGATCAGACCTGGGGTTTGCCTGCCCTGGTAGGCGGTTGTCAACAGCAGCCAGCACCGGGTCTCGTAGGAAGGTGTGAGAAGTCTGGGAGAATCCGCTCCTCTTACACCCCATCTCACCCTGATTTCTAGTAGCCAGAGAAATGCCAAGGCCTTGGGGCATGAGGTGTAGTAGCCAAACCTGAATCTTCATTAGCAGCTGCTTCTACGTGTCATAAACCAGCCCGATCATCAGAGGTGGCGACGTCTGCCAGCTCGTGGTGTGGCAGCGAGGACACACCGCTGTGGAAGTTGGAGGTGCCAAGCCTCTGAGCTGCAAACCAGAGCTCTCCAGGTCAGAAGCAGGTCTTCAAAACAGCAGCACTGGTTTTAAAGCCGCTGGAACGTGCAGCTTTCCTCAGCCTGTTTCCTGCCAAACTCCAGCACATTTTGTTAGCGAGATGTTAAGGCCAAGGCGAGAACTTCCTCCACAAAGTTCAGGGTTAGATTCAGCTTCCTCATGTTCATAATGGCCAATGCCTTGAGCAGCGTCACCAGCAAGGAACGGGAACGGGGACAGTGGTTGAAATGGGCACATCACGCTGTGCAACGCTTCCTCACATTCCTCCTCATTTGGCAGGAAAAATAATCTCAAATCATAGGAGAAAAAAATAAAAAAGAAATAAGCCACCAGTGGCACCTGAGCAGCAGACGCAGAGAAGGCAGATCTCTGGACGTCCAACCTCCCGTTGTCCTCATGAAGTGGCAAAAGCCATGGCTGTTGGTTTCTTACAGCCGTTCCTTCTCCTCCTTGTAAAGCCACAAAGGAAAGATTAACACTCGCTCTCACTTTTATAGATACCCAAGTAGCGTGCTCAAAACACGAGGAATTGGCTCGCAGCAGCTAAATTTCAAGGCGGCTTCGCTTGCCTCCTCTTAAACTGTGTCCTTTGGACCCGGCAGGTGAATCCACCGGTATCGCTGGTGTGTCACCCAACCAACCAGCCTGCGGTGGCGGATGGAGGAAAACCACTCCTGTGTCGTTCCCGGCAAGGCCTCTAGATGTCCACACAACCCAATGGATGAGAAGGACTTTGGAGGACTCTCCAGAGTGCTCCGTGGCCGAGGGGAATGTCCATCCTCACCCCAACCACCAGCCAATGCTCCCATAAAGGTTTCATCGTCTGGCCTTGTTGCCTGCGAGATCAGCGAGGGTGAAGGAGGTCTAGGAGGGGTTCGTCCCCCCAGTTTTAGCTAAATTTGCTAAATTAAGGAGGTTGATGTTTGGGGTGAGGGTCTCCTTGCCCCCAGGCAGACACACGCACACACACTGGCAGCCTCAGAGCAGCTCTGCCTGCTGAAAAGTAAGAATTTTGCCTTATTTCTTTGCTCTCTCCAGCATCTGCGGCCCCACGGGACAATGGGATAGAGCAGGGATGGCAGCTCAGGAAATCTTTTGCTTTATACTTTTTCCTTCCTTCCTAACAACATATCTCAAACCCAACCGACACCAAAGGCCAAGAGGGCCTAGCGGATTGGTTTGGCCAAGAGATGAGCTGGATTTGTTCTGAGGGAAGAGGAAGGCTTGGCCAACAGAGCCGAGAGCAGCGGGTTCAGCCGGCCCTGCCGTGCGCCGGGAGCCCGGGAGAGGTCACGCTCTCCCAGCCCGAGAAAGGAGCTGATGCAACCGAGTCTTCCTGCCCGGAGCAGATGATACACATGGGACTTCTCAAACCCTGAATTCAGATTCCTCCTTGTTTATGGACGACTGAGTTCAGTGTCCTGTCACAGGCTGTTGACGCTCAGCTCTGGCTTTCCCCTTTCCCTGTTGCAAAAACACATTCTGGCCAGAAAAGAAGTGAAGCAATCCCACCACGGCAAAGAACTATCTGTCAGGGAGAGCTTTCGCATCGCATTCCTTGGCAGGAGCTGGAAACTTGGGGCTCAGGGGGAAAAGTCCTCCCGCTCAAGCCCTGAGAGGACTTCTCCCCGTTCAGCA